ATATATGCCTACATTAAAATGCAACATAGGCCTACTGGGAAACATCAATGCTGTTCAAAGAAAAAGAGCGTTAAGGCAAGACTCGATGGAGACAATGCATTTAAGCTAATACACACATATTATATATAAAGTATGTATATTTATAAATATACATATATAAATATATAGGCCTATATACGGTAAAAGCCGAAAATTTCTTCAAAATAAAGCAAATCGAAGAAGTGCTAGCGAGAATGCACACATACGCCACCCTTATGGAGTGCAGTTGCTGAGTACTCTACCAGTCAAAACACCTAACCTTAACCTTCAAAATCATGACCAAATCATAGTAAATTATTTCCAAAAGTTGTATAAGCGGTATCAACAATACAGTATGTTTGCTATCAGAAAATTCACACGTTGTTATTGATGTTCTTCGGATGTGTTCAGGTAAAAAGTAATTAATTCAGCAGATTTTCTAAATTGCTTTTTGATACCATGCAAGGACAACTAGTTGCAAGAGGATGTTAAAATAAGGATATACTCAATTGACCAAGTAACCTATATTTTTTCCCTGGTAGTAAGCCTTTTACAAATCTTAATCCAGATTAAACACAAAAAATATAGCATAGTCCCTTGAAGTTTCCACTCCACTCCATGCTATACGAACATTTTTTAAATCGGATAACCCCTATTATATAGGCCTATATCTTTTCAAGCTGCCTTCCATTAAACCCCGCTCCTTGAATATTGTTTCCATTGTCCCACAGAAAGACAGCGTAAACGTATGTAAACACGTTTGTTTGTGGAAAAGGCGCGTATTCCTGGCCCTATTCTGATTGGTCAGTTCTTAAATTTGATTTTAAGGTCTATTTCACCCTTTCGTATTTCAATATTCGGTTCTATATTTAATAGTATCCATATTTTGCAATCTGAATTATAATTTATAGTACTGTATATGGAGGGTAAGGCATTTAGCACTGAATAGTAATAATCATAACGCATCATTTCTGCATATTATTGTGTCCTATTAATAAACATATTCCAGTATACAAACTCTTATCTACAGTTGGTTCACGTGTACTATACTTTCGATTCAGTGCTTCATTATTCTGAGCATGCAGCGCACTATATTCATCGAATAATGGGACGACAAATAGATATTGAAACAATTGTCCTTTTAAAAATAATTAAATTAAATAAATTACATAGACTATCCGTAAATAGACAACTGCGACCTACATAGGAAACTTCTCGCTCTGGGCAAGAAGGTAGTTCACCGCCCTGGATGGATGGAGGCTACTTCTACTTGAATAATTGGTGTTGCAGCCAGGGGTGAATCAACTCCAAGAGAACGCCCTTTCACTCACAGGCGCCTTGATTGATGTACATCCACATTTATACACCCTAAACAATGTCACATTTTAAAAATATTTTAATTCCTTATATTTTTGTTAGGTTTTCCACATCCTTCCTTTTAACTTATGATTTAAATTTCTTTTTATGAGTGTAAATATTTTTTTTTAATTTTATGTACCCCAGTGGAATTTAATTTCCTTGAAACTTTTATGCAATTCTTTGCCTTAGAATTTTATATTCTGGAATTACGCACTTACATTTTTTAATAATAGGCCTAAGTTCTGCTTGTTTTTGTACAGATTAATATTTTAAATTATTCAAATTATTTAATTGTTAAAATTTAGTCATTGGATATATTGTATTATATAAATGTTTGGTTCTTTGTTTGGTTAGTTTTCGTTTCATTGTTTCTTATTTTGTATTTAATATTTTGGACCACAATGAAGATAAATTTGCCAGTTTCTCCTTAATTGAATTTTTATCCTTAAATGTTTTTGTTTTTGTGTTCATAATAAGAAATACAAATCTAGTATGCATTGGACTGAATATGAGCATTACAGGCATTAATTTTTATTTAAATAATTAATCAAAAATTAAAGGTGGCCTTGATCTAAACCATAAAAAAATAACTACAGAGAAGTGATGGTACAGGTCAAGTCACGCGCGACTAAGGGCCCGTTCGAGCAAAAAATGCCAACCATATTCCGTTTATTTCACCGGGTAATCGCGCTGAGCACTCAGCGGGTGGTCGACCGTTCGAGCAAGTTTTAGCTCACGGTAAATACGTGTAACGCACGGATATTTTTTCGCTCGAACGGGCCCTAAAAGTATCTTCAGAGTGGCAAACGCGATTCATTAACCTTCTCAATCGGATGTTTTGCATTAGTGTCATGCATGTCTGACTTTCGGGCTAGGCCTGTATTCAAATATTACACAATAAGGATCAACGGGCACACCAAAGCTAACGATCATATCAACCATAATTGTAGTATTAAGTTGTGTAGTTTTTATTTTAAGAGCATTAAGGTCTACACAGCCATTGAGCGACCGAGTCAGTTTATCTTGTGCTGTTAAAAACCTAACTGTACACGGGGAAATTGTACTGTTTGAATTTAAAAAAAAACAAAAAAAAAAAAAAACTATGCAAAATGAGTTTACATTAAGCATTGCATGGTCAGGATATAATAATAATAATAATAATAATAATAATAATAATAATAATAATAATAATAATAATGATAATAATAATAATACAGTGGTATTCAGAAGAAATAAGAGACAGTAAGGTAGGCATACACACTTTTGTCAAAACTGTAACACTGTTTATAGTCAACAATCTAATATATCTTGAAGGGTTGCATGACGAGTATTTATAACAAAATCATTAAACTTTCGGTACAACATGTGTAAAAAAGTATGGTTTATGAGCTGGTGGTTTTACTTCGAAAACCATATTTTGTTATATATGCGACCGAAAGTTCGTTGTGTTGTTAACAATCTAATAGTCCGGCAGCTTAGCAGATGGATGTGGACGTTCCGGACAAAAGCACCATTTTTTTTTTACATGCTTCTTATTGTCATAGCATTCAATTTTTGGTAGGAACCACCTCATCCGAGGTCATTATGGCGGCCATCTTGGATTTCAAAATGGCCGCCTAATAAAACCTATGTTTATCTATATCTTCGCTTCTAAACCACTTGGAATTATAA